TCTTTCTTTCTCTCTCTCTCTCTCTCTCTCTCTCTCTCTCTCTCTCTCTCTCTCTTTCTCTCTCTCTCCCCAGTGAACACACATGCCCTCTGGCAAAAGAAAAAGGGAGATGGGGAGAGACAGAGGGAGGAAGAAAGGAAACTAAACCTCAAAGATGATAATCTATCTAAGCCTGTAACTAGTAACAGACAACTCTTCACTGATTCATATGTTTATTCATTCATCCATTCACCCATTCACTCAACAAATATTTATTAGGCTACCACTAGGTGCCTAATACGTCCAAGTAAAACACAGTGAAGGATTATACCAGCCTTATTCCAGTGGCAGAGATAGGGAATAAACAAATAAATGCAGACTATACTGTTAAAAAGTGATGGTGCTATGAAGATATATTCTGCACGGAAGGAGACAGAATGAAATGGGGCTCTCTTTTAGGTGGAGTGGTCAGAGATTCTCTGCTCTAAGCCCTAGGCTCAGTCCTCCTGCAGACTTACTGCTGAAGGAAGCTAGTGGTCTTGAAGTGCTGTGTAGTCCTCCCCTACTGCAGAGGCTGCCCAGGGCTTGGAATGTGCATGAGCACTAGAACACATCTAGCTCAAGGCAAAACTGGACTCCTGCAAAGTTGGGCTGTAATCCTCCTGCAAAGTTGGGCCGCCTTGGGACCAGCAGATGGCATAGAGGTTACATTGCTGGACATCCACATGGCCCAACCACGATTCGAGTTCCGGACCTGGAGGCTTCAAATTCATGCTAAGCATATGTGCGTGCATACCCAAGATCCCAGGAGGAGAATGGAAGAGAAGGGATTGCAGCGTGGCCATCCCCCCCGAGGGGAGGGGTAATTTCTTCCTTTCCCTCTCACTGTGTCTGTCTCTCTCCCTCTCTGGCAAGCGCACGTGCCTTAAGGCAAAAAACTCTCAAAAAAAAAAAAAAAATGTTGGTCTGCCTTCTAAAAAAAAAAAAAAATGTTGGGCTACCTTACTGAGCTTCACATGTAGACTATAAACTCCTAAGAAGTAAGTGTCTTTTGCATAAGTATATGCTGATTACAGTAAGTAATCAATAAGTTTACAGTAAGTATATGCTGATTAATTGATTAACTTATTGACGAAATAAAAGCAATTGAGAGAACTGGGAGACTACTCCGTTCATTCAGTATCTGTAAATATTATAGTCAACTCATTGGAGAGATTCCCAAATCTATGAGGCTCCTTTAGAATAACTCCAATCTCTCCACTGTTCTCTAAATCCAAGGACCTCCCCTTCTAGGCAAACACTATTGCGTAGCCCATGTCTAAATATGTCCCACTAGAAAACCTGATCAGCTTAGGTTACAGTAAAGAAGACAGCTGTGTCAGTTTATGACATTGCAATAGGTGGAGGTAACAGTAGGTGTATGAAGAAAAACCCACTAAAATGAAGAGAACTGGGGCCAGCTCATTCAAACCAATCCAAGGAGCTATGAATAAGTTTATGAGGGTAAGTGACAAAGACAAACTGAGTCAACTACTTTCGGTTATCTGTTTAATTTCCAAACATATCTCAGTCATGTTTTTATTTTATAAAACATTTTCATTTACAGCACCAATGAGCATCTTACACCTTTAAAAGGTATGCATATACACATCCGTCATTACGGGATCCACATGCAATTAATAATGAATTATTTAAACTTTGTATCTTAGAGTTTTAACAATTCCTTCAAATGTGAGGATTTACACTTTGGCAAAATTGCCTGTGCAGACAGAAGGAGGACCTTAAGCAACAAAACTCCACAATACTGTAACATAACCTCAGACCTCTAGGAAGAGGCTACTCCCTGAAACATCCTTTTGGGGTTGTTCTCATTAGAATTCAGAGCAGAGTCAATGTCTCTGGCTTAGCTTTATAGTAAGAGGTGACAGTTGATCATCTAGCAAACATTCAAGAAAGTTGCATGTAAACAAAAAAGTCCAGAATAAAACACTTGAATTAAGAGGCATCAGAAAATGGCACATTTGCATTAGGTAAACTCCAAATTCATAGGAACAATTAGATTACATACAGGATTCTAGTCTGCTGCAAGCTCCATTTGAGAAACTAGTTGTCCAGTTCAGTAGCCTCCTTCCTACCTCTGACCACGTTCTTTTAAATATTCTCAGAAGCACCAAGAGGTGACAATTTATTAAGGGAGTGAAACAATAATAAAACAGACATTCAATCCATGATCATTTATCTAAATCTGAAATCCCAATCAGTTCACATGTTCTCCTATTTTTCCTAAACCAGTCTTTCTTATAGTCTTTAACTGTAGGAGTGTGAAATTATACTTAAAAGCAGAATACATTAAAATCAGAAAATGTATTTTGTCCTTTTGGAGAAAATGGGTACAATTTGGTGAAGGATCAAATTAACCATAAATAATGATTTTTTTTTTAACCACTGAACTTGTCATGAGCACTAAGATGAGCTGCTTACCAGGAACTGTCAATGAGAAAAATCGAGTGTAAAATTGATCATTTTAAACGTGAAGGAGAATTAAACACTTTAACTCCATGAATCAATCAGACCGATATTACCCAATCTCATTTAGAAGGGGGTACTCCAAACTGAGGATATTACTGAGTTGAAGAGATCATTACAAAATAGTGAGAACATGCTTTTTTCTTCATTTCATTTGGTCATAATGACTGACTTGTATAATAGAATTTCTTAGGACTTTAAAAAATTATTTTTTCTTTAAGTATCCAAAGTTCCTATGCAGAAACAACTCTTAATTTTTAGTCTGACCTTGCCTTTAAGTATATTTTGGAAAGAGCAAATCCTGGGACCAGAAGATGGCGTAATGGTTACATTACTAGACGCTTATGCAGTTGATCGTGGTTTGAGTCCCGGACCCAACAGCTTAAAACTCACGTTGGGTGCATTGTGTGTGTGTGTTTGTGTGTGCCCAAGATCCCGAGAGGAGAATGGAGAAGGCATTGCAGTGTGGCCATCCTCGGGGGGGGAGGGGGAGATGATTTCTTGCTTTATGTTTCTCTGTCTCTGTCTCTCCAGTGAAGGCACGCACCCTACAACAAAAATCTCTCTCTAAGAAAAAGAAAGAGCAAATCCCGCAAAGTTGACTATATTAAAAGAATATCAGACTTTCATCAACAATGTCCTAAACTACCCTTGTTTGAGCCAGTGATTCAGAACACAAGGGAAAAATTTTGCTAGAAGATATGAGGCTATGTCTGGGGACCTCTTCAGTTGTCACAGCTTGGGAGATGCTATGGACATCTGTGGGTAAAGCTAGAGATGCTGCTAAACTTACCCTGTAACCCAGGCCAGATCCCCACATCAGGAATCACCAAGTTCAGAGTATCAATAATGCCAAGATTGAGTGACCCTGGTTTAAGCAGGCAGTTTTCTTACTATAGCCCAAAATCTACCTCAATGATTCTTTTTTTTTTTTTTTTGGCCCCCATAAATTCCCACTGTTACTGAACCTTGGAATTTCTGATTATTTGTCCAGAGTTTGCTAGAGTTTGCCCAGCTGGTGAAGAAAAGAAAAAAAAAATAAAAGGAAAGGAAAAGAAAAATGTACCTAAATCTGGAGAATATGTTTAATTCTTTCTCAAATAATGTCTCCCTATTTTATATTTATGTTTTATAAAAGAATTAGATGGATACTATTTTTTCCTGTCAACACCAGAGCTTAGTAGCCCTGGGGGTATTCATAACTGGCAGATCTAAAAAAATGTTTACATCTATTTTCAAAAACAAAGCTAGAAATTGAAAATGGATCAGACACACTATCACTTCCTAACGCCACGGCTGAAATAATGTGGGAAGGACTCTCTCTAGAAATAACAGGGCAGAAGGGCAGTAAGTGCTAGAAGGCTAGGCCTGTTACCACACAGAACTGGCCCTAACCTGACACACACACAGATGCCTTTTTAATCCTATTTCCAGGATCAGCATATGGCATAATGTTATGTTGCTGGATTCCCACAGAGACAACTGCAGTTCGATTCCTGGACATGACGGCTTAAAACTCTCACCAGGTGCATGTGCAGGAGTGTCTAAAATCCCAAGAAAAGAATGGAGGAGAGGGGACTGCGGTGTGGCCATCTCCCCCGACCCCAGGGGGTTGATTTTTAGCTTTCTGTCTCTTTGTCTCTCCAGGGAGCACAGAGCACATGCACCCTATGACAAAAAAGTCTCAAAAAAAAAAAAAATCCAAAAAATAAACAAACAGAAAAACTATTTCCAGTTTTCTTTAAAGAAAAAAAGGGAGGGAATTTTCTTGAATTAACAAGCATATACTTTAAACTGAGTTGCGGCAAATTTCTAATCGAAAACAAAAGGTCATTTTAAATCTACTATTCATTAAACAGAGTGCTTAAAAAGGAAAAAGAAAATTCTCACATTTCCTTGGGAGGATTAAAGACAGGACAATTGAAAAGAGAATAAAAACCAAAATAAAAATATACAGAAGGCACCATGGGGTCAGTTACCCCTGCAAGTCACTAACCCAACATAAAAAAAGTGGCACTTAATTTGTTTGGACATTATTAAATGCACTCAGCCAAATTATCTTTTAAAAAGGTATTATTTCACTATGGCCTATGATTTAGTATGTGCATAAGGGTCAATCGAGATATTTTTCTGAGGTTAGATTTAATTATATTGGTATTAAGCGCCTTTTCCTTTCCAGAAAAATACTTTAAAGGTTAATTAAAGAGCACTGTTTGGATGCAAACTAATATGCATTCCTTTAACCAGCTGCACAAAAACTGTGAAATGACAATTTTTCCCTTTTAATAAGGCAGAGTGATATAAAATCAAATTCAAATATAGAAAAAATAAATTTCTTCTTTGGCCCTGGCTAAGGTGTTTCTACCAATATTTATTATTATGCAGGCAAATCTGGCCTGTTTCCACCATGGTGAGTTTCTCAGCAAATCCTCTGGTTTGTGTAAGTACATGCCACACTTATACTAAAAACAGAAATAGGATCTTATTTTTACCCCCTTGTTTTTTTAGCTTATGAAGTTCATATAAACTAGCACAATAAACTTCTAGTCATGAAAATATTTTTAGGCATTTTTCTATTTACCTAATTCATGGCCAGTGTAGATTCAGATAATAAATCTTCAAGGAATAAAGATTTACCTCTCCTGCTGGTCATAACTGCTTATTTCAGCTTTTGAATTTAAGGCTAAAACAATTTTTTTTTAAATTAATGCTTGTTCTGAAAAATGTGGAGACTGTTTCTGTTATCAACCTAGCATTTCCAATGAACCCTGTGATGATTCTAAATAAGACCTAAGGCTCGTAGCCTAAAAAAAGATAGCTTTCAATATCGCAACCTGTCAGAGATACTGGTTCTTTAGTGAAGTATCTGCCTTTTTCTGAAACCTATGAAACTGTACTCATTTAAATATTTAGACTTCACCACTAGTAGTATAATTTGGTTATGGGTCTGAATCAGATTACAATAAATTTATCTGAACTTGGTAATATGGGACAGAAACATAAAAGAAAATTCTAAGCTCCTCAAAACACATGAAAGGCAGCATCAAATTAACTCTCATGTATCCCTTGGGCATAAACTTTTTCATTAAGTCATTAGTTGGCAACTACAATAAATATTTTAAAAATATGTCTACTTAAAGAAAAGGTAGTCTAGCTTATTTATTTGGCAGAAGTGAACACTCGATGTCACATAGTCTATCCCAGAAATACTCATTTTTTTTTCCCTAGTAAATGCTACACAGATCAACGTGATCATATAAAAGAAGACAAAAGTTTGGACAAATAGGAAAATCATTATCAAAGCAATAAAGGACAACAGTCCTAGCTGGACTGACTCTAAAAGACAGTATATAAGTACTTGTGTCACACTTAAGGAAGTAGAAATTTCATGCATTTAGGAAAAAATGGTATTACACATTTAAACACTTGAAAAACCCTACATCTCCAGTTCAGTTTAGAGCAGAAAATAAACACTAGTTTTCTCTCACTTCACAAAATGCGATGATTCAAACACACTTTTCCTTCCCATCCCACCTACACTAAACTCTACCTGCTCTAATTTTCTAAGAACATTTTTTTTACCTTAGTAGGTATTCATTTTACTTCATTCAAAAATGAATCCAATAAAAGAAAGATATTTCTGCAGTGTCAAAAATACCTCTTTCTCTTGTATGATCTTTAAGGAGAATGGGGAAATCAGAGCAATTAACGGTACTTCAATTTTTTCAATATACTTTGGCTCTGAACTCATCAGAAACACAGCTAAAAGTTTTAATCACTTTAAAAACAAGAACTACTTTGAATCCTGCATCACAGTTATTGGGTCCCAGCCCACTATGACCCTGATATGTATATTAGTGCAGTTTGCCTTAGAAAATAACGTTCAAGGTAAAACTATTGAAGAGCAGCATGAGACACTCAGAGTAATGGAGAGGGGTTTCCAGCCACATAGAAACTAATAGATGTGTTCAATTAAAATCCCAACAGCCAACCCCTGTGAACACAAAGTGCACACGGCCAGTTTGGTCAGAGCCTACAACCCACAAAGCTCTTTCCACAAGCCAAGCAAGTGGTTCCGAAGTGCCTCGACTATGCAGTCCAGGTAGATGGGTATCAGATTAAAATTGTGTGCTGTTTACATAACATTGGTCCTCCTGAGATTTAAGAGCTTGTCCACGGTTGCTCAGATTGCTGTCCAAAGACACTTCAATAGCCACTTCTGTTGCATCTCTTCTACTAAGATCATCACTTCGGTATGTCTCTATAGGGAGACCGCCATTGTGTTCAGCACAGCCATTGACGTGGGCCAGAGGCAGTGCCCCGGGAGGACAGCACAGATGTTTGGCACAGTTTGAGGAGATGCAGGGTGAGCTGCACAGCAACAGTATGTCCTTCTGCTCCAGGGGTTCCTTCAAGTCCGTGTTTTCAAACTGGATAGTCACATTGTGGATTCCCGCATGATGGAAGATTTCTCGAATTTTTATGCTGGCATCCTGATAGCCCTTGTCCTTCTGACACTTGATGTGCAGGGTGGCAATGATCTTTCCACTTACAAGTTCCCAGATGTGTACTTCATGCACACTGTCAATTCCCGGCACAGCAGAGAGTTTACTCACTAGGATAGAGAAGAGCAAATAAGAGCCAAAGTGAATGTTACATCTGAAACATGAAACTATGGAAGGGGACTAGTCCCTTTAAATATTTTACCAAAATAACTGGATTCACTAAGCATAAGAGGAAGAAAAAAATAGGCATACCTACACAGATACCTTTTCCCATAATCTACTTTCACCTCTCTCAATTTCCATACACACATTAAAATGTAATTCAAGGGCCAAAAGGTGCTGTGGGGATAAAGGCAGCTGGATCCCACAAGGTCAGCTGTGTGGTTCAAGTCCTAGACCTGGTAGCTTGAAAACATTGCTGGGCATATGTGCATGTGTGCCCAAATCCCAGGAGGAGAACAGAGAAGGGATTGTGGCATGGCCATCCCGTCTTGGGGGCACTTTCTCACTTTCCCTCTCTCTGTATCTCTCTGTCTCTCTCCAAAGAGCACACATGCCTTATTGCAAAGCTTAAAAAAAAAGTAATTCAAGAAAATAAGTTTGACAAAAAAGAAATAAATCCCCAGGGGTGTTGAATATACAAGAGAATGGACACTCTGATGGATTTCTGGTGGGACTATAACATGGAATGCCATTTTTCAAAGAGATAATCTGACAATATGGATCGAAATCTTTTACCAGCAATTCTAGCACTAGGAATTTAACCTAAAAGACATAACCCAATATCCATGTACAAGAAGCATTTGGGTAATGCTCTTAGTATAAATGAAAAACACAGGAAATAGTTAAATCAATTATGTAATGAAATATAATACAGCTATGGAAAAAATAAGTCACATATTTAAGGATATGAGAAAATGCACGTATGGTGTTTGTCATTGAAAAGACCACTAGATAAACTATATGCGAGACATGCTCTTTCTTGTTTTTGGAGTGGGCATAGAAAAATATATTAAGTGTGGCCATTTCTGTGGGCTCTTCCATATTTTCCATATGTTTTAGAAAGAGTGTGTTTTAAGAGAGATGGTGTTGAATTGTGATGATGAGCAAGGACTCCGCAACCACCTAGTGTTTGTTAAAGTTGCCTACTAAATACCAGTTGAGTCACCTACTACCTTCACGAAGTTAGGCCATCAACCAAGCCCCTCTGTGCCTGCATTTCCTTCTCTGTAACCGAGGAAGAATAATAGAACCTTATAGGATTGTTTGAAGGATTAAAATGAGTTAATTTAAATAAAACACTTTGAACCGTACTTAGCGTGTAATGAGCTAGCTCCTGGGAAGGCCTAGCCAATGCTGTGTGTTTGGCTCTATGAGGTGCCTCACTCCCCACCCCCACCAACTCCTTTACCAGCAGCATTGGGCAGGGTTATGAGAGACATAGTGACCTCCATGTCCGTAAAAGTCAATTCACTGGAAAGCAGGATCTAGCATATGAATGGTTCATGTTTTCAGGATAAGGAGAATAAAAATAAAGTTCTTGCCAAATTGGCCTTCTTGAGTTAAAATAAATCTTTGACATGAAGGGAAACAGCCTAGGAATTGGTATTGGCCAAGCTTTAACCTTCTCAAAGCTCTACAGTTGAGTCAGAGAATCATGGATTACACAGGGTCTTTAGCTCTGGAAGCTCTGAGTCACCTTACTAGGTTGCAAACATATGAGAGATGTGTCCATCATCTGGTGATTTGAAGTATCGCAGCATACATCAACCAACCTGCTCTGAAATAATACTGGTGCTTTGGCCTGAATGACATTAAATCATCAACTCTGGTTCTAGATCAGAATCCAGTCTACTTACTGAGCTCCTCCATGTTCAGGCCCTTGGGGACCATCTGCAGCAGGATAGCAGCGGTCTCCTTAATGAGCGGGAAGGCAGATGACAAAATGATGATGACCATGACAATAGTCAGGCTGGGGTCAATGTAGCACTGCCAGTTACACGGGTCCTCAGGTCTCAGGGGAAGCACATAGAATATGATGGCTGTGATGACCACAACCACAGACCCCAGAGCATCTCCCATCACATGCAAAAGAACACCTGCCAAGAAAAAAGACCACTAAAGCACAAATCCAAGTGTGGGAATCATGTGACTTTTGGTGACTCGCATTTCCAAGTATACAAACACCCCGTGTAGTTTGTTGTTCTTTGGTTAGAACAGTAAAACGGGTATCGGGAGATGGTGTAATGGTTACATTGCTGGACTCCCATGCAATTGACAGTGGTTCAAGTCCTGGACCAGCAGTTTAAAACTCACGCCAAGTGCATGTGCATATGTGCCTAAAATCCCAAGAGGAGAATGGAGGAGAAGGGACTGTGGCATGGCTGTCCCCCCTGGAGGGCGATTTCTTGCTTTCTGTCTCTCTGGCGAGCACATGCACCCTATAGCAAATATCTCTAAAAAATAAATAAGTAAATAAAACAGCAGAATGGATCAGAATGAAAAAAATAATGGCAACTGCTCTTAGAAAACCCAACTGAGGGGAACAAGCAGTTAGCATAATGGCTATGTCACTGGACTCTCAAGTAGTTGATTGCAGTTCAATCCTGGACCTGGTGGCTTAAATTCATGCCAGGTGCGTGTGCATGTGTGTGGGTGCCCAAGATCCCGAGAGGAGAATGGAGGAGAAGGGATTGTGACGTGGCCATCCCCCTGGGGGGTGACTTCTCGCTTTCTGTCTCTCTGGCGAGCACATGCACCCTATAGCAAATATCTCTAAAAAATAAATAAGTAAATAAAACAGCAGAATGGATCAGAATGAAAAAAATAATGGCAACTGCTCTTAGAAAACCCAACTGAGGGGAACCAGCAGTTAGCGTAATGGCTATGTCACCGAATTTCCATGTAGTCGACTACACAGCTTAAACTCTAGCAAAAACCTCTTCGAAAAAAAAAAGAAAGAAAGGTAGAAAGAAAACACAACTGAGGCTCCATCTCAGGACTCTGAGAACATAGGAAGAGGAATATTCTGAACCAGCCGTCCCCGGTGAAATGACCACACCAAGCCAGAATACAGAGACTGTGTAAATGATTTCCTTTTCTTGCAGACAAATGTCTGTGCTTTAAGTTGTTTTAAACATTTTTAAGAGGACAGGAAACTAAGATACATCAACACGGTGGCTCTTCTTATGATGCTTTGTCTTCCCTCTACTGGGATCCATCTCCTCACCTCCTGCGGGCATCTGCCTACCTCCCATGCACCTGTGGTCACTTAACGGCATCTGGTTTAAAAGGACTACAAAAACAGGGACTCCAGCAATGTTTTCACTGTGTAAAGTTATATATGTCACAATAAAATAAAATTAGAATTTTAGGGACCAGCAGATGGCATAATGGCTATGTCACTGGACTCCCATGCAGTTGGACACGGTTCAAGTCCCAGACCCGGAGGCTTAAAACTCATGCCGGGAATGTGTGCACACATGCCTAAGATCCCAAAAGGAGAATAAAGGAGAAGGAATTGTGGCATTATCATCCCTCTAGGGAAGTAATTTCTCATTTTCTGTCTCTCTCTTCAGTGAGTGCACATACCCTATAGCAAAATCTATTTAAAAAAAAACAAAAAACACCAGAATTCTATAGGTAATCATAAAAATTGTGGGTGCCTTTAATTACAGGAGCTGTTTCTAAAGATAGTAATTGTGATATAGAAACATGTGATCCTCAGCAAAGGAGATGTGGGTCCCCAATTGTTTGTTAGCCTTAGATAAGACTGAGATTTAATAAATTAGGGGAAAGTCTGGCTAGAAGGATTATAAATGAGAGGTCTTTAAAACATTCATGAGAAATGAGTATTATTCAAAAACCATGCATGGATTTAAAATGCTTTTGCACTCAAATGAATTTGTACTTTAATTCCATGTTTCCGAAAACATTTCAAGTCCCCTTGCATAAATGCAAAGTTTTGGGGTTTTTTTGTTGTTGTTTTGTTTTGCATTTGTTTTTTACAGAAAGCAACATCAGAATCTTGCTATTGAATGTATGGTTTGCAGACCAGCCGAGTCAGCATCACCAGGAGCTTGTTGGAACTACGGAATCTCAGGCCCCTCCTCAGACCTACTGAATGCAAATCTGCATTTTTCACAAGGTCCCTAGGTAATTCAAATGCACAGAAAAGTTTCTAAAACACTGTTCTCAAAGAAAGGGTATCTATTCAGAAGGGCCTGCTTTGTCTCTCCACACAACCCACAGACGCATTCAGTAGAATTAATAATAATCCAAATTTCTAACTCACTTATGGCTCAGACTGAATAATCTCACTTGGAAGATGCTATAATTGGGCTAATTCCATCTCTTGGCAACATTCCCAAGATTCTGAGTAATATCCTGAGTAAAATGGCATTCTGTAAACACACTAAATGTAAAGTGTGCAAGTTTTCCCCAAATAGAGGAATAAAAAGAACCCTGTGTTCCCTTTCAGCTGAGTGCTTACCTACCGAATAGGATCTTGGCAATATATCCACTAAACATTTTCTTCCTTTCTCTCGTTCTCTTTTTATAAGAATTATTTAATTTTATTTATTATTAGTGTTATTTTTAAATTTGCAACAGGACATATGTGTTCACCAGAGAGAGACAGGGAGAGACAGAGAAAGTGAGAAGCAAGCCACAAGGTCTGGGATTCAAAACGCAGTCAGCCATGTGGGAGTCCAGCTTCTTCACCACCACACCACCTGCCAGCCCCTCATTAAACGTGCCCTAATTCGGTGCCCGCTTCTGCCTCATTATCCCCAAAGAAGCTTCTCACTTCCCACTCCCTGTGCTGAGTCACAGAAGAGAAACTCAAAATTTTCCTAAGAGTTGTTCCACACACCTTGTTCCTCTAGGAGGAACTAAGAATCGAAGCTTTACATTACTTCCAGGCAGTACAGAATGCTTGCGTCCACTGTGGAAGACAGTCCCTGGCCTCTTATTATTTCATGCCTGTTAGCCTCATTTTCCCTGTTAGATCATAAATAACATGAACATCAGGGTCATACTCTGCATTTTCCTTGTTTATATCGGGTCGTCGGAAAAGTCATATTTTTCTATGGTTTTTCTATACAAAAACGCATCATGGCTTTTCTAATGATTCAATATTATAGTGCTGGAGGCACACAACATAGGCATTCAATAAAATGGTATTTTCTGATTACATCATAACTCCCATAATATAGAATAACTCTTGTTGTTTACTTCATAAAAGAATCATTGCAGTGCTAACGAACACATAGGCGCCCCGTAGTGCTTGAAGAATATTACATGTATTTACACAGTAAGTCCTCTTAAGGACTGTAAGGTGGTTGCTCTCCATTTCACAAGGGAGGAAACTGAAGCACAGAGTCCTGACATAACTTGCCCAAGACCACTCAGCTACAAAGTGTCAGAGCAAGCAAGGGTATCAGTCTGTAGTCCGACTGGAGATGCACTGCGCATCTCACTTCATAGAAGTTTAAATTCCAGTGTCAGGTTTTCCTACAGAGAAACCCAACTATTAGTCCCTAGAGTAGCTTTCAAGCTTATTTCCCCCCTAATCCACAGAAAGACTTAATGTTTTCCATGAGAATGGGCAGTTAGTCCAATGTGCCCTCCTGGCCCCCCACGCACCCAGGCAGACCCTCACAAAAATGCAGCGGTTTCGCTGCTCTCTCTATTACATGGATGGGAGACTGAGGCTCACCGAGGTGGTTACTTACCCAAGGTCACTTCACTAATAAAAGGCAGAGACGGAACTCAAACCAGATCTACCTGACTACAGAGTGGAAGCCCTTCTCACCTCCCTATCCTTGTGCATGGAATGTTGAGTAGGATGGAGGAGAGGAGGCAGGGAAGGGCTGGTGGGGGAGGTGAGGCAGTGCAGGAGTGAAGAGAAGGGCAGAGATGCGTAAAAGGAGTGTTGGCATCAGATCAGCAAGCCTGTGAGTGTGAGCGGTGTGTAGACCTTATTCTGGATGCAGTAAAATTTTCTAAGAAGACTTGGATGTGATCATCTGTGATTCAGAAAGATAAAGCTGAGAGACAAAGATCACCACTTAGACAACTCAGTCACCTGATTAGTCACAGAGTAGCTTTGCAAACCTCTGCGCTTGGCCGGCACTTGCTGTCTTCAGATAAAAACAAACGCCTCCCCCCAAAACTAGCATGTACCAGACATTGACAACATGACATTAATTGAAATTTGATGAGTGTTCCGGCACATGGAAAAGCTGTCAATGTTGTTGGATTTCTCGGATAACTGGAAACAAGGTGCATTCAGACTGGGCATTCACAAGTCATTGTGAAAGGATGAGATCTTTCTTATGGGAAAAAAAGCAAGATTCATAAAGACACAACTCATCAAAAAAAAAAAAAAGACACAACTCATCAAAGGGGGTTTATTTTCAACTGATGAGAGGATTACTACTCTTCTACTTATGTGCATACTGAAATAAAATGGGCTGGGACCAGCAGATGGCATAATCGTTATGTCGCTGGACTCCCATGTAGTTGACTGCAGTTCAAGTCTCAAGCCTGGCAGCTTAAAATTCACTCAGGGCACGTGTGGGTGTGTGTCCAAAATCCCAAGAGGAGAATAGAGGAGAAGGGATAGTGGTGTGGCCATCCCCTGGGGGGTTATTTCTCACTTTCTGTTTCTCTGGCAAGTTTGCATGCCCTATAACAAAAATCTCTCCAAACAAGAAAGAAAGAAAGAAAGAAAGAAAGAAAGAAAGAAAGAAAGAAAGAAAGAAAGAAAGAAAGAAAGAAAGAAAGGAAGGAAGGAAAAAAAAAAGAAAAGAAAAGAAAAGAAAAGAAAAGAAAAGAGAGAGAAATAAAATGGGCTAATGGTCTTTATGACACTGTTGCAACACTTTGTTTTAATGTTTTGTGTTTGAGTTTACAAAATTGATCACTACATAGCACACTGGTGAGGATTTTGAAAGGACTGTGCTTTTACTGTATTTTGCAGGAGAAGACAGAGTGTGTTTCTTAGAACTCATTTTTTGTTATTATTCCCAATGAAATAAGAGAAACAGTTGCAAAAAAATTAAGAAATAGTTATTGTGCACAGGAATCCCATCAACTGCTCCCTCTGCAGATCTTGGGGTAGAAGAGCAGTTCTGATTTCTTATTTAGCTTGCTACAGGGCATGTATGCTCACCTGAGAGAAACAGAGAACACATGGGGGCCAGGAGGTGGTATGGTGGTTAAGGCGCTGGACTTCTCATATGGCCAACCAAGGTTCAAATCCCAGACCTGATGGCTTGCTTTTTCACTCTCCCTCTCTGTCTTTCTCTGGTGAACTCATGTAAAAATAAATAAATACATACATACATACATAAATACATAAATATATAAGATAATTTTTTAAGGAAAAAAAAAACAGAGAAAGAGAGAGAGGGAGAGAAATCACCCTCAGGGGAGATGGCCATGCCAGAATCCCTTCTCCTCCATTCTCCTTAGGATTTTGGGTGCACATATGCACATGCACATACACACACACAGATACACACACAGTGCTTCTCGAGCTACCAGATCCAGGACTTGAACTGTATTGTCAGCTGGGTGGAATCCAGCCACCTTAACCACCCTACCATCAGTTGGCCCATAGCCTGCTTTCTAAAGCGACACTTAAATTTTAGAAATGTAACTTCAGTTGACTGTGAATACTGGAGACGCAAGCCATCCCCATCTAGAGTCTAGAGGCAATGCGTGATCATGGCAAAAGCCAGAAATGTGGACTAGGAGTCCAAAATTCCAGTTGTGTCTCTGCTGCTGGCTGAGGTGATTTGGGGGAGTTGCCAAACTTCTGCATCCTGTTTCCTTATCTGTAAAGTGAAAGGGTTGAAGTCCATTTCCCAGCTCCAACATCCTTTTCCTGAATGGTGGCTCCAAGATGAAGGCACAGGTAAGGCCATCCTCATCTTAGACATGGAACTGTGGCAAAGCCCCTGTTAGCCACAGCATAGGGACTCATCAGGAGAACCAGGAATGATCCAAGCCAACTCAGGAATGATCCAAGCCAACTCTTACTGAAACAGCACAAGGTTGAGCCCAATAACTCCACTCACTCCCTGAATGACCACAGTATCCATCATGTGAGATTGCCTTGACTACTGAATGACTCACTCATGAATGGCGTCTGGTACAAAGTACACACTCAATAAAAACCTCAGCTAGTTCTTCTACCATAAGACTAAGCATTATCCATGACATGGGTACTATTCTTGTCCTCAGCAATACCATGACATGGGTACTGTTCTTGTCCTCACTTTAAAGATGAGGAATTGGAGGCTTAAAGAAGTTAAATAACTTTCCAGGGACTAGCAGATGGCATAATGGTTACAACTACTCCCACGTAGTTGACTGTAGTTCAAGTCCTGGACCCATCAGCTTAAAGTCACACTGGGCACATGTGCATGCGTGCCCAAAATCTCGGGAGGAGAATGGAGAAGGGATTGTGGCATGGCCATCTCCCCTGGGGGTGATTTCTCATTTTCCGTCTTGCTCTGTCTTTCTGGCAAGTGCATGTGACATATAGCAAAAACTTCTTTATAAGTAAATAAATAAAATAACTTTTCTGTTGTCACATAGTGACAAAATAGTCACTAGTGACAGAGCCTGGACCCAAATGCAGGCAGGTCAAGGCCAAATTCCAATCACTTAAGCACTGCATTATTCACCTCTATGAGAAGCTATATACGTGTGCTTTAGTCAGCACCTGTGGACCAAGGCCTCGGCCAGGTTCAACAAAGCATTTTACTGTGGACATTTTTCTAGAGCTAAAAGTTAGCAAGATCATGCCAGTTTCCCAGGCAAAGCCGTAATATCTACCGGATCCTACCCTTCTTCTTTGCTCCTTTCCACCTACCTCCTTTCTTTCTTAACTTTGGAACAGAAGAATAAAGAGAATTAACAGACTAGGTTTTGGAAAGTTAAAACATATTCTGTTCATTATGTTTTTACAATTATGGCCCAGCCACAGTAGTCGTGGTGGGAGGGCATCCCTGTGCCATTCCAGAGCCATATAGGAGGCCCTAGTTTAGACTCCCAAGTCAACCTGAACATCCTGGGAGCATGTGCAATTACGTCTATCATCCTAGCCGGCTGGAAGGCTTGGGGGTTAGGGCGGAGGATCAATGTGTGGCAAGACCATGTCCAGGGTAACTGTCTTGCTCTTTCTCATGAAAGAAAGAAGGAAGGAAGGAAGGAAAAAAGGAAAAAGGGAGAGAGGAAAGAAGAAATTGAAAAAAGAAGCAAAGAAGGAAAGAAACATTTAAAAAATTAAAGTGCTAAGATAGTGAACTCTACTGTCATCTGTCTATCATCTATCTATCTATTTAAACTAAATCTAAAAAACAGAATAATAAATTATAGGATGGTGAGTTTTCTTTACAGGTTTTCTCTTTCCAAAACAATTCACCACCCAGATCTATAGCAGGGCTAATTGTTTTGCATTAAAATTTTTTCTTTAATTAACTTAGAAACTTTGAGGAATTCATGTCCTGTTATTGCTCTTATTTTTGGATTTTCCCTATGGTGCATTATCAGAGTCACTTTGTAAAGTGGTTGTGACTCTCAAAAGTAAAGGTATCTTCTGGATTATTCATTTTATCTTACATTATTTCCATCTAAGCCCCACTACAGGCTCCCCCCTCCCCCACCAAAACCATACGAAGGCAATGTTTGCTTAGTCTTTGTGGAAATTCCCAAAGTCAAGATTGGGATCAACATCACTCCCCCCCCCCATCCTCCCTATCACTCAGAAGCAAAGTCTGTGCCAAGAAGTTGAGAAGGAGAGATGTTGAATACAATGGTGTCCAGTGAGGAACAAAGCACAGAACCCCCGGAGCCAACTTGAACATATGAGAAGAATGTTTGTTAGGTGCCTTCCATGGACCTCAGCAGGACTACTACTTTGGCTAGCAGTGGAGGTTTTAGTGAGCCAAGAGTCCCCAACAAAAGCCAGTTTCTGGAAGGAACGACTGAAGTCATAGGGCCATTCACAATGCACACAACACAGCCTTGGGAAGCAGCTCGCCTACTTCTGGCCCTCCTTTATCAAGATCACTTTCAATTAAAACAGGCTGCATCGTACATTAGCCACATCCACGCGTGGGCAAAATCAAGTAAATTAACAAGGGGGCACTGATGTATGGAGCTGTGGAGCCAGCGGTATCAGCGTGGGTCTAAGTGGAGCAAAGATAATCATTAGCAACTAGTTTCTTACTCAGAATCGATGCAGTGATTAGGCAAGAGATGAGGGTCATAGTCTATGCATGCAGCTGACCTACTTTCGAACACACCATTACCCTATTAGGAGTCAAACAGTAATGAATAGTACGGCACAGTCTACGTGCACCAGGGTGAAGGATTTCACACAGGTCAACGTCAATCCTACCTCTGATGTTCAGGGCCTCGGACTTTTTCTCCTTTTTCATAGTCTCTTCAGGCTCATTCTGAGTGTTCAGGGAATCACCTGCATTCAAAGAAGAAACCTTGTGTTGTGTATAAGTTCTACAAATGAAAAAAACCAAGGACTCAAAATAAAGCTTTTGTTATTTTGAATTCCTACCAGCTTATGAGAGACCCTACCTTTGCACACACTCAGCCCAGAACAGTACATTCTGGCCTTGAAATAGCCTTAGCATTCACCTTCAGACTTCATTCACACTTCCTTTCAAATCAGAACAAAAAAGAGAAGCCCACCCCTATCCCTAAACCCATGACACCCAAGGGACCAGGAGCAAGGGCAAAGAGGGGAGGAGAAAAACAAAGTTCACATAGCAACCTCTGAAGGGCGGGGAGGATTGGGGAGTGCTATCAGTTGCTCAATAATAAGGATTAATTTCCAATAAAATCAATACTTTTATAGAGAGACAATGGGGGAAGGGAAATGAAGTTAGGGTGGCCTGGGGATCCGGAGGAAGAAAAAAAACGGGGGGAGATGTTAAATTAGCGGATGAGAAGTGAGACTGTAAGGGAAATGAATGGGAGGAAGAAAAGGGAGGGGAAAATTTAAAAAAAAAAAAAAAAAAAAAAACAGCAGGAAGGAAGAAAAGGGGCGTGGGCGAGAAGGCGAGGACCGCGTGGAAGGAGGAGGGGAGGGCAAACTGGTCCAGAGGATGCAACCGAAAGGCACCTGCTACGTTTGAGAACACGGTCGCCCCCTTCTCCCGCTTCCTTTCGATCGAGGCTCCCCGCAGGATCACGGCCGAGTCCGAACCCGGGGCTGTCGAGGTAGCCGAGTGTCGCTGGCCCTCCACGTCCTGGGCAGCCCCTAAAGGGCCAGGAGTGCCGCCCTCCACCAGCTGCGGCGGGCGGTGACGGCGGCCCCGAACGCAGCAGGCGAACCAGGCGGCGCAGTCCTGGAAAATGAGCAGCCCCACCACGTTGACCGCCAGCCCCAGGGCGCCGACGATGAGCACCAGCTCCGGGTCATCGATGCGCTCGGGCCGGGCCAGGCGCAGC